AACAACAACAACAACAACGTCACTGAGCAACTTACACAGAAATTGTCCCTAGGTTCCACCCAGGCCCACACTCAAATGGTCCAAAGTCTTCCCAGTTGGATCTGAGTTAGCAGGCGGTGGGGGTTAGGGAGCTGTTGGTCCTTCTGCTCCCTCTCTGTGCCAGACCCAGAGAGGAGGTCAACACTGCTCAGAAGGCTAAGAGACAGATTTTTCAAAGGCGTTCCAGACTGAAGATACAGTCTTTTTCTCTAAATCTCAATCTCTCTCTGTTTCTCTCTCACTCCCTCCATCTCTCTCTCTCCCTTTTCTAACACCACTAAACTGATCCTGCCACTTCCTCCCTCTCCCTCCCTCTTTCCCTCCCTTTCTCTTTCTCCTTCTCTTTCCCTCTCTCTCCCTCCCTCTCTCCCTCTCTCTCTTCCCCCATCTCTCCCTCTCTCTCTCCAGAGAGAAGAGGTCTATGTGACAGCCTCCCTATATATACCTTGACTCTTATAATTGTGGATTTTGTCTCCTAACATCTGACACTCTCTACATCACCCCATGGAAGTTGGGGCTCCTAGAACCAGTGGGTGTTTGAGCTGCTCCATTTCCCAGGAACAACAAACTGTCTCTCTGATCCAGAACACCTTGTGCCTGGTACGGACAGGTCTGAGAAGGTTAACATGCACGATCCATCCTGTGAAACAGGACATTCTGTGGTTTGGGAATTGTGAGAAGACCATATTAAACCGGATGAGAGCCTGCTTCCAGTTGTCCTCGTGGCCACAGCTGCCACTGCTGCTGCTACTGCTACTGCTGTAGCGAGAGCTGCTGGCAGAGGCCAGAGCAAAGGACGCAGGCAGCATCAGTGGCTGGGGGTGGGGCAGGTGGAAAGGACAGGAAACGAGCAGCCAGCGGGGAGCAGAGTGCACCCAGCCCCCCCCCCCTTGCTCTTTTGCCTCCAGAACAACAGGAACAGCCCAGATCTCCAGCTGCTCTCCAGCCACAGGACAAAATCAGGGAGCCCGTGCCCAGACTATGTCCTCTACTTCACCTGCCTGTATCCCACCGATGGTCTGCTTTCCCTTAAAAAGACAAAAATCTTATAGGACCATGGGAGTAGATGGGGTGTGACATTGCCCAAAGGCACAGTAAGTGATGCACACGGTAGAGTCCAGAGGAAACTGAACGTGGAATTCTCAGCATTGAAATGAAATCTGGTCCAAGACAGTGCAGCACCAGATGTGCCACCTTCCTGTCAACATGCCTGCAGTAAGTCTGTCGAAATTTCCATCAGTGGTTCCGAGGAGGCTCCTTCTGGAAAGACCTCAGTCTGGTTGCTGGTCTCAGCACAGTCAACTCCAGTGCTAGTCCTTTAAAGACTCTTCTGGACGGTGTCTTTGTCTAACTCAGGTGCATCTGGGAAGATGATTTAGTATGGGCCTGCGGGGACCCCCGGTCCCTGGGAAGGGAGCAAATCCCCACCTTGTCTGTCCCTGGAGCCAGGTGGGGCTGTCTTCTCTGTCCAAACAGCTCCTCTCTCTCCTGTTTCTTCCACGGGATTTGTCCTCCCTTATAAAGTTTGCTTTCATTTCAGCCACTGATCTGTGACATCTTCCCTCCCGGTAGCCCCAATTCCC